CATCAGACTATCGGGAAGTGACTAGAAGAAATTAAACTCTTGTTCTGTTCTTCCCTGTTCTTTCTCAGAGACAAGAAGAAAAGCCCCACTGGGATCCGGCCATCTCACATGTTCTACAAATCCTCTTCAGACCCGAGATCTTTCCAGCTATATCTTGTAGTCCAAACAGTTATCTTGCAGGGATTTTTTGTTTTGGTTTGTTTTGTTTTTAACAAGAAATTAAATGAGAATGGGGGATGACAACATGCATTTCCTACATTTTGTAACAGCTGCTGCTTTAGCTAAAACCAGTGGTCTTAAATAACATGATGAAGGAGGACTTGCCCACAAGTCCTCTGGGTGTCCAGGCTGCAGGCTCAGCTCCCGTGCCAGGCTGATCACATGAACATATTTGTATTAGAGGGACAAGCTGTCAGTTTATTTCTTTTACAGTTTTAGACCAATTGCAAGGAACATTTGCATTGATAAGGGTGCTCTTAGAGGCAGGAAGAGACTTAATACCGGTGGCAGAAGGAGATCTTTGCTTTGTGATTTCTGAAGGGGTATGCATCTGAATTTTGTCATTTCCCAGAAGAACTGGGCTGGCTGACAAATGGAGCAGAAGCAGCGGGAACCACTGTTATTAAGGGTGTCTTTCCAGACCCCAAGGTGCTCATCCTTCAACCAGGATTTTGGGTATCTGCCCCTGGGTGAGGAGGAGCCAGAAGAAGCCTCCTCGAGATGGCTGTCTCCACAGCCAGCCTGGAGCTACTCTGCTGGGACAGGACAAATGCACTCATGACACTGCCAGATTGTTTACTAATACCATCACCCCACTGTGTCCATACCAAAATAAGGAGATTTCCAGGCTTTTGCTGTCTGGTGTCCTGGCAGCTTGGCAGGTAGCAGACTGACCATGCAGTGCTCCGTAGATATCTTTGGAGACCTAACCAGGACTCTCACCACCTAGCAAGGTTTAAGTTTCTGTTGATACTTAAGTACTGGAGTTGAGTGACTCCAAGGAGCAATGGTTAATAACAAAGATATTTTAGACTTTGTTTAGATATTTGTTCTCAGTCTGGAGGATATGATCTTCAAAAAATATTGTACTTTTTAAAGTACAGTGATAAACACCTTCTTAGAGTTATGACCTGAGCCAGAAGATTACTATCCCTATGAAGACATTTGTAAGTTCCAGGAAGGTTAGCACAATCCTACCACCAGTACATGGAGGTACAACCAGCAGCTTCAGGGAGATTTATCTGGCCTTTGTTGCCTTCTCTGCTGGATACAGAGCATGTGGAGATGGTTCATGTTTCGGGTCATCAGAACTAATTCCATCAAAAGACAAATGACACTGCATGTTGAGCTCACAGTTACTCCTATCTTTCCCATGATAAAGGTCTCTGAGAACAGTCAGTCCCTCAGGAAACCCAAATTCTATGCCTAGTAAGGACTATCTGATGTTATATCAGAGGAAGCAGTTCTGAACCATGCATGCTTTCAGGGCAACTAGAAGACTATTTTCTGGGCATAAGCATGCCCTGAGTTTTCCTGGGATTTCCTAAGTACAACCTTGTGGCAACCTCTCTGCCACATCTAAATCCTGCCTCAGATTTCTTCACCCAAGGGACCTCCAGAACTACCATCCCAAACCTGAAGTCTACAGAGCAAACCCTGGTGTCTCAATGAAAACTGTTCATACAGATACTCTAGAGCTCATGACTATTGGAGATCTCGCCTTACAGCCACATATTTATTTGATGTATTTGTTTATGAAGAATGCATGGGGTACCCAAAATTTCTCTACATCCTTGATATAAGCCTCAAAAGATTTCTGTGGGCAAATATTGAAGGGCAGAGGGGAAAGTTCTGCATTTGTATTTTTGTGTTTTGCTCCCTGATTGAGGTTAGTTTTAATCTTTTCAATATACGATCTAGCATTTTACTGAGCTTGACTTTTAATGGGATTATTAAGAAATAAACTATTAGATTTTACAGTTCCTATGCTACCTTCATTTCCCTGATAATGTTCATGGATAAAGAAGCCATATCACTCATTACAAAGATAAACCATCCAGCCTCCAAGACTGAATACAAGCCCAGTAAATAACAAATTATCCTTCTTTGATAATATAAAGAGCTGCTTTCTGTAACTCCTTTTTAGGAGGTTTTAACACACCATCAGAGCAATGCCATGCCATTGAAATGAGTATATTACTAACTTGAAGTAATGATAAAATCTACAAGTGCTCCATTTAAAAATAATGCAGTTTGGGGTTTGCAGGCATTACTTCTACTCCAGAGTACACATGGCAGCTTGCTACATGGTTATCCACAGAAGCATTCACTTTGGGCTGGAAGAAGCTGTGGTGCTGATGGAGCAGCACAGCTCCCTCAGGGAGCCACGGACCTGCTCCGCACTAACCACAGCGCTGGGAACTGCCGGGGAGCTCACTGCGGAGGAGTAGGGCTCATCGCGGACTGAGGGCAGCAAGGTTAATTTATCTCAAAGCTAAAGCAGAAGCAACCTCTTACTCCTGACATCCCCTTTCTTGTGTTTTCCTCCCCTGGCCAGCTGCAGTGCCTGGCTAGCTGTCTGCAGATCTGTGCTTGCAAGGCAGCCAAGCTGCAGCACTTTACCATTCAGTGAGGGGAGAAAAAAAAAAAAAAAAAAAAAAAAAAAATCCAAGAGCAAATTTTGTGCAGCCCTTGTTGGCACCTGTGTTGTGCAATCGTGACTCTTTTATAAGCCAGAGCCTGACACCAAGAACATGACTGCAGTAGAAAAAAAGCATGGTCCACAAATGCTGGAATCAGGATGCGATGACCAAGCAAAGAAAGCTGAGCTGAGGCAGGGCCTCATTCGCCTGCCCCGCTACTTGCCTCTGGTTCTTCAGCTCAGCATCTCAAGAGTTTTGGGAGGCAGCTTTAATCTGCTGGCTGCTGCAGCCCTCTCCTGGCCACACAGACCCAACCGCACTCCTGCATGCCAGCTACTGGGAAAACACAGACCCAAATTCTGTGTGGGTGGAGAGCAGGTTTTACAAAGCACAACAAATAGTGATTAAATAGCATATTCACCCAAGAACAAATATATAAATAAATGGAACAGACACTTAGGATAGTAATTGTGCCAGGTGTACAAGCAGAGCCATTAAATGACTTGCTTTTCAAGAATCTAAAGAGAAATTACAGATAGAGCACTAAGCAGTCCTGTTTTTAATAGGGTGCCCTGTTTCATCTCTCTAGGCTGTCACTAAACAGTCTGCTTTGAAGCGCTCCTTTTCTTTTGAGCATTTGCACATTGATTTACAATGGTGTGGGTAAATTTTGCACTCCTGGGTTTTGGTGAATATCTGTTTTTTGGAAATGTGTCTATCTGCTCAGGAAAATTGAAGGAGGTGTGAAAACCACTTGGTTTGGGGAAGACCTGGGGAAACCTGGATTGTTCCAAATTTCTGTAAACACTAACAGGTAGATGGTTCTTTGGAGCTTGAAAAGCAAGCCTGGTTTTTGGTATGTTTTGGTTTTCCTTTTAATCTACCAGGTAGAGACAGAGACATCACTAACACTTGGGAAAAAAGCATGGGAATTAATAGTGGAAGGAGAAAACGGATGGGAGCAGCACTGAGAGCCTGTCCAACAGCCCAGCCGTACACTCCCTGCCCAGTGCTGTGCATGAGCGCAAGTAAGGAGATACCTATAGAATAAAGAATAAAATGGATCAAAATTAAAAGCTTGTGCATAGGTATGGGGTACTCTGGAGGAAGTTGTCCAGTTTTAATTGATGTTTCTTAGACTGACAGCAATAGTACTTACAGACCAGGGTGCCGCAGTCTTGCCAGAGGCATGATGTTACGCAACTGTTTTCTCATTGTTTTTCTCTTTCTTTCCTTACAGTAGTTTCAGAGGAAACATCTGCAGGAGAAATGGCTTCATTTCAAAAAGATAGGACAAAACCCAAACCAAAACTGAAAAACAAAACAAAACAAAACAAAACAAAACAAACAAAAAAAAACCAAACAAAAAACAAACAAACAAAAAAACAAAAAAAAAAAACCACACAAACAAAAAAACAAACAAACAAAAAAAAACCAAACCAAAACAAAACAAAACAACAAAAACCCAAAACACAAAGTAGAGCTGCAGTGACTCCATGAACTGACGTTACCTTTTCTGACGGGATGGCTGCTACCTCTGGCAGTAACTGCATCGGGGCAGACAGATGGTGTGTGGGGCGTGGTAAGTTTAGCAGGATCAGCAGGACTCCGGGTGACAATGACATCTGACATTTTACAAGCCAGTGTGCCGACCCATGTGTTTGTGATGCTGTAACAAGCCTTTTGATCAATTCCAGGCATCAGTAAGGCAGCGGTATCTGAGCCCCTTCAGGTGCACACAGGCGTGTGCTTTCCAGCTTAAGCACAGAAAAAATCAGTTTATAGAGGTGGGCTCTGCACCTGCGGGTATTTTCTGTCTGAGCTGGTGTTTCCTACCCTGAGAGCTATTTGAAATGAGGCCAGTGGGACTTCAGACCATTTCCCACCATGTGCCCAAACCAAGGTCTGAACCACACCATGATCCTTAATGCAGCGCCCAAGCCCACTGGTCTCCTGTGCAGGATCTCCCTTTCCAGCTGGCTGCCCTGACAGCACCTCCTTCAGCCCTCTGGACAAGTCAGGACTCTGATGGAAACAGTCTTAACTTACCTATATTAACATCTTCACTACGTATATTGTATTTAAGTAACACAGGTGCTGTTTTGCTGTGCTTCAGAACTGCTGTTTCAAGTGAGCCAAGCTGCCTCCCATGGCTGCAGCACAAGGACAAGCTGCAGCTTCTTCCCGGCTCTTCCATGTCCACAGGCTCATCTTTCTCACTTTCAAGAAACCCTTAATTCTTCCATAAAATGGTATTTTGTGCCTTTTTTTTTTTTTTGGTTGTTTTTAGCTAAATCACCTCTTTGGTCTTCATTTTCTGTAAGCCCACACATGCAGAACAAGATGTGACTTTTTTGGTTTAAGATTATATTTATTTTATATGGAGAAAAACAGTAGTAAGAAAGTAAGAAAATTAATATCTGCCTGAAAGAGCACAGGGCAAGTGTCATCCTGGGATCGGAAAAATTCTCCAAACAAAAAGGCTGATAAATTTTTAAGACATGTCTATATTGTGAGATGCTGAAACACTAAGAGTAGTAAATACCTACACTGATAAAATCCGTGTGAAATAGCCTAGTGCAGAGCAACTTATAGCTCAGGTCTGGGTGCAGTGAGGCACATTATTTGGGTGCAAAGCAGCAGGAACACCTTGTTTTGTCTTGGCGCAGCTGGAAGCAGTGGGTCCGTATGCAGCCAGTACGGGGGGCTGCAGCCTCCCCCCAGCTACAAAGCAGCACCTAGTCACACAGACATGTCTTTAGACATGTAAACACTGGCTATATAGAAAAGTGGAAATCCCAGCATCAAAATCACAGGCAAGATGCATACCATAAAAAAAAAAAAAGTCCATATAAGAGACGGAGCTCTTTACTTTCTGGAGAACGTTCTCATAGGGCTGGACTAAACAGCCAGAGTGAAATCTTGGCCCCGTTGACCTCAGTGGGACAAAGAGCTCATCCCTGGTGTTGCAGTGTCCGCTGGCCCTGGCTGGGAACAGGAGGCTATGGCTGAGTCCCACTTTCTTAACTTTCCACCTGCAAGTTGCCTTCTTTTTATGTTCTGACCTTCTGCAACCGCATCGCCCCTATACCCACACTAACTTGTCTTCTGCAGTTGGTCCAGGCTCTAGGATTCAACCACAATCATACTCAAGTTGTTGCTGAAGATGATCCTCCCATCCTTTTTGCTGCTGCACTCGGGCTGGCAGAGAGCCTCCTGCAGCCGCTGCCGCAGCCCCGCCGGAGCCGTGCCCAGGAAGTTTTTTGTCCCTGTCAGGAAATCCATCATGCGGCTTCCAACTGGGTCCCCCTCAATAAAGCACTCGGTGATATCCCAGCCCGACGGGAACTCATAAACGTGGTATTCAACACCCAGTCTCTTCAAAACATCCGTGATGCCGTTGGAGGTGATGTAGTGGCCGCTGTCGGTGGAAGGCAAGCAGTGCCTGTACTTCTTCCATAAGCTGGCCCATCCACTACTGTCTGCCAGAGTAGAAGGGCAGGTTATTTTTGTAAAGCCAAAGCAGTCAAAATCCACGTAACGCAACTAATAAATAACTTTGAAATGATCCTTCTCTGCTGGCCCAGGCTTTGCCAGGAGGAGTAGAAGACCTTTCCCCCTGAGTGCACTTACAATTTTCAGTGCCTGGAGAGGGGTAAAACTCTCATCTTCCTCAACCCTCCTTCCAAAACTCCGCTGTTTAAAGGAAACTCTAGGGAGTTGGTCTCCAGCACTAGATTTGCCCAGAAGGAGGAGTATACACAGATATATAAGCACACTGAGCCTGCATATGCATGCTGTCTATTAACTACGCCTTTGATAGACCAGTGTAGATGTTTTTACACATTGAACCTCAATTTTAAGCATACATCAGAGAATACATACCTGAAAAGCCAGTCCCAGGGAGCAAGGGAAACAGCCTACCATCAGTGTTAAAGGGAGTTTTAATGGCAAATGTAGGGAAGTGTGCTTTATCCACTGCACCACGAGTTGTGCATCTTTGAATGGCACACTGGAAAAAAACACTTCTTTTTAAGAAGCGCGATGATGTCTCTTTTACTTCGTGACAGCTGGGGTCTGGGCCATCACTATGTGGAGGACAGAGTCCCAAAGATGGGTCTTCCCAGAGCTCAGGTTGTACAGTGCTCATTTCACTGTGAAGGAGTGACCCTCATTCATTGATAACTGCACTGTTCTCTAGCCAATAATTTAACAGTAGGAGGTCTCCATGAGTTAGAGAGCAACTCATCTACTTCAGAGTCAGGGAGCAAGAGTGTGAAGGTTACACCTATGCAGTTCCATCAGACATTGAGTCAAAGAGGCTAAGCCCAAGATCACTTGTTTCCTATGAAATACAGCATATGTTTTATTTAATTAAAAAGCACTACTTAAATCCCAAGATGAATAGTTGTGGTTCTTATACTTCAAAGCTTTCAAAATAGCAACAAAGCAACAAAAAGTAAAAGGCTCCTCTTACCTGATAAAATTATGATCAGGAGTTTACCATGATGATTGAGGCAACTGTGGAAAAATTTTATAGTATTAGGAATATCCTCCACACGATACAGCATCTGGAAGTGATAAGAGTTACACACAGCCATTATTCCTCTTCCACAGTGCAATGGCCCTTCAAAGGCTGAAACTTTTTCTGTAGGGTTGTTTTAAATTACTTCCCAGTTACTTCCCAGCCTGTTCTGACACAATGCACACATTTAGGGATGCCCTACAGGACTGAGTATCATCAGCTCTCCACTGGGACCAACAGCCTGGGGTCAGTCCCAGGGACCATCTGCTCAGCCTCGGCCATCTGCCCATCCCTGCCCTTCAAGCCCAACACAGTTTTGTGGTTGGAAAATGTGTGCAGAGGGGGGTCCCCTGGTTTCTGTGGCTTGTCCCTATCACCAGGGGCATTTCTTGGCTTTGTCTGAGCCATGGGCAGGCTGTATCTCTTCCAGACGCTGAGGAATTTGCACTAAGACAATGCAGGGGTCATCTCAAAGGCTGACCTCAGGAATTGTAACTTAGTCTTTGACTAGCCATCAAACCCCTGAAATACCTTCTGGTACCTATCAGCTCTTATGAAATGAAAGCAAAATTAAATAAAAGACAAATGGAATAAAAGCCACTAAAGCGAGAGAATAACAGATTTTTTACAAAATATAAATGGCACATGCAAGATCAGTGTCTTCAGTACCAGAGACACAGCAGCATAATTTCTGATCCGAAAAGTGACACAGTTGTTCATTCACTAACGTTTCCCTTCAGTGCCATCCAAATTACTCTTTTAAGGCAAAAAATTCAAGGTTTTTTTTTTTCAGCAGCAAAGCATAATTGTTGGTCTCTGTGCGATGTGTGACAGCCTGAGATTCATCCTGTTTTATTACCCACCATATACAGTTAAACCAATACAAACCAGAGACCAAAACCAAGTTGGATAGGGAATGAGGTTTGGTGTTCATAGAGCTGCTGCAGAAGTTATTGCTCATGGGAGAACGGTGCTCAGCTCTGGTCACCCTAACTTCATGCACACATCAGAAATGGGGTAGTTAAAGCTGATGCTCCTATACTAAAGCAATACTCCATTACCTGGATCATATGGATGAAGTCGAATTTCTTATGTGCACCTTTCTCTTTCACCTGTTGTTCATACTCTGAGGAAGTGAGCTGGTGCCAAATAAAAGAGACATTCTGCAGGTCTGGAGCTTGATTCACCAACTCTTTTAAAAAATAGAAGAAAACCATGAATTTCACAAAGCAGCAGAAAAAATCATTGTTCAAATTAACACTCCTTGCTATACCCCCGGCAGCAGTTACAGCCTTACCTTTGTAAGCTGCCACGTGCTGTGGGTTGGGCTCTATGATTTCATTGTCAATAAGGACCCCTGGGTGTGCAGCCTGGAGTATCCTGATCATTTTCAAATCCTGCTCACCTGTTCGTTAAACACAAATGCATTACTTTATAAAGCACATAAACGTGGTGAAAGGATGCTGCTGCACCTGCCACCTCCACCGCAGAGAAATCACCCAAGCAGAAGGGAGGAAATTTCTACCTTGCGGTTTTCATGGTGGCATCTAACCCAGGCTTACCGTCATATCTTACTGCTTGGGGTAACATATATTTGCAGATAAGACTAAGAACAAGGAAGAGCTAAGCAACAGTGCAGAAACCTGCTAATGACAATAGTCTGGATTGTGGGACAGACAGGTCAAGATAATCAAAGATCAATGTTTAAAAAAAAAAAAATCAAAACAACCATGAAGCATTAGTTTACTACAAAAAAATCAAAGTTTGAATGGGGGCAAGGAGAGAGTTGGCAGAGCTGTGCAACTTCAGCGTGGCACGGGGCAGTCCATGCCTTTGGCACTGCCCCAGGGAGGTGAAGGTGGCTCTGCTGCTGGTGAGACATGGTTTGGGGACCCAGGGACCTGCGTGGCAAGAGGAAAGACCTACTCACATGCAGCACCCTAGGTCTTCCCTCTTCGGGGACCAGTCACATGCTGGGCATCGACTAACTAGTTGTTATCTTGGAGCTGCAAATAGAGACTCACGTATTTGTGGGTAGGTGCCCTGCAAATTCAGCTATTGGTGTTTCTCTGTTGCTGTCTAGGCTCTGGAGGAGCCAGTGGCAGTCTGTTCTTCTGCCCTAGGAAATGTCCAGCCTCTTTTGAGGTAATGCAGGTCACTCTTGTTTTCTCCCAGACAGGTGACGATACACCAAGTGAACAAAGTCCATCTGGTTCATCTGGGACTATGGAAATAAACAGCAGAGGTGACCACCTTGAGTGGACCTCTGCAAGAATCCTGACTGTAGCTCATGGTGAGGCCTAAAAATAGCCCTGCCCTTGCAAATGTCACACACAGAGGGCTTGATACGAGATACTGCATCTTTCCTAGCCTCTCAGCTGATGTACCAGCTATGAAAAAAGTCGTCATCTTTGGCAGGTGTTGTAGTAAATAGAACTTAAGAAGGGAACTATCAGCCATGCCAGCACTACAGGGACGTCCAAGGAAGGACGTGTCTTTTGAAATTGGAGAAAAATACAGAAGACTCCTGAGGAATGCAGTGGCAGTGGTGTAGGGCTGGGCTGGCCAAAGGCACAAGGAAAGAGGCTGCAGCTGCATCTTTGGAAGACGGGTGCATGGACCAGTATTGCTGACAGCAAGGAAGATCCCTATAGCAAGCAGCTGAATCATTTTAGACCATTCTAAATGCCAGTTAGTATCTGCCCGGAGTGGGAAGCACCAGCAATTAGAGGTGCTGACCCACAAGCTCAAGGCAGGCAGGAGACATAGCATCGCTGTCCCATGCCCTGGAGCCACTGATGGTGGCAAATGGGTATCTCAACAGCAGATGGGTATTTTAAAAGCTATCTGTTTGTTTTTTTTTTTTTTTCTTTTTGTTTTACTCCATCTATGTAAAATGCCCTAATGCAGTCTTTGCAAGAGCATGTAATAACATCCTCAGATGGGTTGCCTGCGAAAACAAGCAGTAAAATACAACGCTTCAGAGGAGGAATTTCTCTGTTCCATCTTGCCCTGCCAGCAACAACCCTTCAGCACTGACCACAGCCAGGCTGAAAGGAGTGAAACCCCTCTGGAAACAGGAGCTATGCTGGCACTAACTGGGAAGTCACAGCTGAGAGGGTTAAACCAGCCACAGGAAAATGTGGGGTGAATGAGAAAAGGTGATCTGCAGCAGACAACAATCTTTTAGGAAGTGGAGCCAGTGACTAATCCCCATTAATATTTTCCTCAACTAAACTAATTCTGAGGGCTCTGTGAAATCAGAGTCCAAGACCGGAAAGGTCAGGGATCAGATATAACCTTTTGCTCAATGCCATCCTAGCTCACTCCTCTGCCTGGCTGCACAAGTTCAACTCTTGCCTCATGGGCAAGCTGAGGGAGTGCGAGTCAGTGTCCTGTCATCAGTGAGGGGCAGTTACCCAGGAAACTCAGGAAATTTTAGAGTTTTCACTTTTCCGTTAAAACATCTTCTGAAGGGGAAATAAGGAGAAATGAGGACAGTGCAAAAAGTTCATTTTTCCCTTGTGTTTTCTGGGAGCCAGGGTTTCAGTTTTATATTACTTAATGAAAATAGAGTGTAATTGAGAACTGAATGATTTCTTCCTTCTTGCTTTCTCATATGCTCCAATGTATTCCCAATTGGGGCAAACAATTGAGTGTTATTTTTCTCTTACTCAGAAAAACAAGCAAAAAAAAAAAGTGAGAAAAATTCTTTCATTTGAAAGTATTAACACTTAAATTTCAGCTGAAAATACTTTTTAAAGCAAAATCAAACTCTGACAAATCAAACCGTCACTTCTTTTACCCACCTTTTATTTTCTCCCGGTTTCCCTGGGAACTAAGTTGGATGTTTCGCCATTTTTTTTAATTTTTCTTTTTTTAAACATAAATGCATTTACAACATCTTTAAAGCTATTTTCCCAAAAGATGGGTTTCTCTCTGGGGGGAAATATCATTTGCAGTTAAACCCTACTTATCACTGGATATAAACAGTAGTAACAAAGAAGCATGTCTTGAAAAAGCTGATGTAGCCCCATGCCAGCTGGTTTTCCACCACCTGGAGCAGAACATTGCCCAGCTTTGGCCTCTGGGATGCCTAAAAGCAAAGCAAAAATAGAGATCCCTTCAGGTGGGATAGTCTAAGACAGGACTTTGGGTGGAACGAACCTCTCGGATGTCTCTAATTCTCTCTGATGAGGTTTGAAGATGCTCTTGTACCTAACCTGGAGCAGGACTCCATGCTTTGAGACATATAAAGTCAGGTGAGAGCCATAAACTAAGCTAAAATCATCACATGCATCTTACTTCTTGGAAAGGTTTGAGCAGCAGCGTTTCAAAAGAGATATGGGGAAGGGAAGGGGGGAGCATCGCTCTCATCCCAGCCCCACAGCATGTTTTGCCATTCTCTGCTTCAATGAGAAACACTGTTATTAATGCCTGAGTAGTTATCCCCATTGCTCAAAATTTCAGTATCGCTTTCTGCCGCCCATAGGGACCCCTCACCCCCCAGCATCAGCAGTGCTGCTGAGCTCCTTACCTGTGCCGCTTCCAACTCCCAGAACATTTATAGTCGATCTTCCATTGCCGAGACTGAAATTACAAGTACACATTACTTAACTACACTATGTTGCATGACTTCGTATTTTAATTCTAATATCGTGGATGCCACATTGGCCCAGAAATGTTCATGTTTGCCACGTGAATTGGGACAGAAATTCAAGCATCCCTTTGGCACCCAGCTATAACCAGCTGCGTGGTGGGATCCAGCCCCATATTAGAAAGCTCATATTTCAAAGTACAGTAGGCAGCAGGATATATTGTTTCTCATTCTTTGCCAGAGGATTTTATTCAAGCTGTGGCTGGCACCATGCAAAAAGACCTCGGGGAACCCCAGGGTGAAGGGTTCCCTTTGGGGGTAGTGAGGCTGTGCCTGGCTGGGATGGGCACTGCTGGGGATGCAGAGGCAAGGTGATCCAGGACAAAACCTCTGCACCCTCAGGGGACAAATCTGGGTTTCCAACATTGGACAGAAATACCTAGGAAAAGTGAAAAATCAGGATTTCCAGGTGACCGGAAATCATCTCTTCACAACGTTAATCTTGGTTTGAAATGGGGAGGGAATGCCATAATCTTCAATAATTATTATCTTAGAAAAATTACTTTTGAAAAGACCAAAAAAACCCACTAATCATGTGATTCCTAGCAGAATATTTAATAATAGCCTGGCTTGAGGATGAAGAGCCCAGGCTCAAGGCATCTTACTGCTCTGACATGCTTTATGGCTTTATTCTGCTCTCAGGAATGGACAGTGGCAGGGGGATTAAGTTTTCCATACACAAGCTCAGGAGACATCGCAGCAATGATTCGACAAGCGGGAAACAAGTAGTAAATCCTGGAAGATGTGAACTAGTCAAGGAGCCTTAGCCCTAGTGAGGGTCAAGACCCTTTGACAGACGCACAATCAGCATCATTTAAAATTCAAATAAGTAAATTTTTAAATTAAAATTTCCCAATACAAATTATTTTAAAATTATTATTATTTTGCTGCTTAATTTATATATGCATATCTATATATATCCAATCTGGAGAATAAAATTTTGCCTACCTAAATTTTTTTCTCAATGGAGAATACAGTTTCTATAATATCCAAAAACTACCCAAACATGAAAGGGCTTTTTTTGTGATTTGGATTGAGGCTGTTCTACAACTATCTGCAGTCATCCAGGCTTAATATATTACATCAATACTTCACAAAACTGATTATCATTTGGTACTTAAGTAGTGCAAATCGACTTAGGATATAAATAAGGAGGTCTTAGGGGATTGAGAAAACCAAGAATTAGTCACTAGAAGAGAATTACAGATGTGTTTCTGTTTGGACTGATGTGTGATGAAGTCCCAAGAGCAGGGAGAGAGCACAAGAGAGCTTTCTTTTGAAAAAAACAGAAAAACAAAAAACCCCTTTAATTCTTGGAAAATCAGCTAATGAAAAGAGACGGACATGTAAATGAGGTCTTGATTCTTTCCTTAACATAAGCTGAGAGGCAGCACAGTGTATTAATTGAAATAGCACATATTCTGGAGTCATTAAATAGGATATCCTAAAGACTGCTATTAAGGGACTTAAAACTGAAAAGCATTAAAAGTTCACTCCTGCTCCAGAAAATCCTTAAACATGTTTGCTGCCCCTTGTATGCAGGTTGCCCTCCCAGGATAACAGACGGCTTTCCACCTCGGTGGACATGCTCCTTACTGCCCTGGGTTGAGTGAGTGGTGGAGTTTTTTGGTGGCAGGGGAGGGGGTTATCGGGGCGGCCCCCTGTGAGAAACTTCTCGAAGCTCCCCCAGCTCCACGTCAGCTCCACTTCTGTTTGGGAAATTGAGCCAATCGGCTGCGCCTCTGCGATAACGTATTTAAGAAGGGACGTGGTGACAGGCAGTCGGACTGGTGAGGAGGAGTTGCTGCAGCTGCATGAACACCAAGGTCAGTGGAGGAACGGAGGAAGAAAGGAGGGGGGAGGTGTGCCAGAGCAGAGACCCCCCTGTATCCTGTGGGGAGACAGCAGGGTGGCCCCCCCTGCCACCCATGAAGATCTACGGTGGAGCAGACATTGATTTGTGGCCTGTTGCTCCTGCTCAGATGATCAAGGTGCTGTGCCCGAAGAAGGCCGGGGTCTCATGGGAAAAGGTAGCCCCGCTGCTGTAATTCAGTGCTGGGAGGATTGCAGCATGCGGGGGGGTCCCACGCCGGAGCAGCTCGGGAAGGGCTGCAGCCGTGGGAGGGAATCCAGTCGGAGGAAGTTAGTGACCCATGACGGAGCAGTGTGGGGAACGCTGCGGCCCATGGGAGGAATTCAAGTTGGAGAAAGTTTGTGGAGGACTGTCTCCTGTGAGAGGGGGACCACGATGGAGCAGGAGGAACAAGTTTCGGACACTCCCCTCACCGAAGATGAAGGAAGTGGCAGCGTTGACTGCACCCCCCATTCCTTGCCCCTGCACCACTGGGGGAGGAGGTAGAGATATCGGGAGCAGAGCTGAGCCCGGGAAGAAGGGAGGGGTGGGGGGAAGGTGTTCTCAAGATGTGGCAATGCTTCTCACTGTCTTACTCTGTTATGTGTTGTTAGTGTCTGTAATAAATGTATGTTCTTTTTTTCTTCCCCTAACGAGTCTGCCTTTTGCTCGTGACCATAAAAGGGGGATTTTTTTCCCATCCCAGTCCTATCTTGAACCCCAAGCCTGGCTCTCTGTCCCTTCTCATTGCCGGAGGGGAAGGGAGAGAGAGCTGCTGCATTGTGGTTGTCTGCCAATCAGGCCTAAACCACAACACTTACCCAGCCATGATATTGGGCATTTCTTCCTTGTTGAACTCATCCATGCACTGGTGCTCTGTTGAATGATCCAAAAATGACTTAAAGGCCTCTACATACTCCTCAGCCGTGAGACTTCTCATGGAAGGGATCACATATAGCTCTTGAGAAAGAAATATGAATTGTGTGTTAGTTGTTTCAAGGCAAGTGAAGGATCAAAGCACTTACCTTGTGGAAGAAACCCAACCCAACCCAACTGAGGCCAGAGATTTGGGAAGATGGCATGGAGGATGAATGGCACAGGAGCCATCCATGCAGGTGAGCTCACGAGAACACTTTCCAACCTGTTCACACCCAGGGTTTGAAAATTATTCTTAGATGCCCTTTGACATCATCATGTTTGTTAAGTGCCTCATTACTACAGGTCAACCTGAGGAAAACGTCTCCAAAATGTTTTGCCAGATATGGGGTGCTCAGTTTGCAGGAAGGGAAGTAACTGGAGTGTTTTTCTGGGATACTCAATGCAAGAAGTTGGAGGGAAACGCACAGCAGGTCCAAACCTGGAGGGTCCATCGTTTGCATGTGCGCTGGACAGTGTAACAGAAATCACGTTGGCACACTTGCTATTAGGGGTGATGCAACACAAAAACTGTCACCTGCACTTGAAGCAAAAATAGTCAACCCCAGTCACTTCATTTCCTACTCTTGCCAGCATGGAACTGCAATGCACTGCCGGAAAGAATTCACCACTGGGAACGGCAGCTCATGTCCAGGAGGGCAACTGGTAGCAAAAGCAGTTCATTTGAACGGGCTCACACTCAAATGTGGGTGGCTGAGACCAAGATTTCTAGCTCTGAACCAACATCCAGGGCTACTCCAGGGGTTGCCAGCAATTATTGCAAAAGCTCACTTTCTTGCTGTCTTATCTTAATGACAGCGCTGATGCCAGAGCACAAGCTCTGACCAACTGCTTGGGTCTGAGGAGCAATGATGAGACTAAGACCTGAGGCTCATGAGAAGATGCCATGCAGCTGAGTACTGGCTCTGGGGTCTATCTCAGACAGAGGGCTGCAGCAGGAAGGCAATCATAGTGCCAGACTCGGTGTGAGAGACCAACAGTAGACAGGTAGCATTCAGTAGGAAAAAAAAATCAGTTTTTCTTCCTAAACAAAACGAGGATGAAGGACAGGACTCAGCAGAACATCTTCATCTGCATTTTTGCCTTTAGAGGAGCTGCTTATTTATCATATGCTTTTAGTTGCCACTAGGAAGAAAACCATGTATGTCTCATATAGCACTGTGCATTCTAAAATAAAATGCCTGTGCTGTTTCTAAAACCACACATTGTTAGCTGGGTTTTTTTGTAGGTGAGTATGAAGACCCTATGTCCAGCCCTGTTAGAGGTAAAGATATCAACATCTATCCTCAACACTTTTAACTATACCCTAACATAAACCCTGACATCACCTGAATTGCAGTCAGTTTAGCATCCTGTTTCCTTCTTTTTTTTTTTCCAAAAAATCTTTAACTCCAAAAGAATTGAAATGTGTTTGTAGTGATAGCAAGCCGAGTGGGCATTTTATTTTAATCTCTCTCTTTTTTTTTTATTTTTTCTCCCAAATACCTGAATTATCGTGTGGATCTGTCAGAATCTCTGCTTCAAAGTTCATGCTGGGGAACCTATTCCTGTAAGGAAAGTATAGCACTTCAGTTATTTGTAGAACCCGTACACTTTTTTGAAGCTCCATTGAAAATGCAAAACAAAAGGAAGGTGCTTCAGGACAAATTTCCTTGCCTGATAATCAATGTTATTTATTCTCTTTTACTAGACTAAAGAAAGTCAAAACTTCTTGGTTAGCTGATCACCTGTAAGTATCAGCAACGGACTGGCCACCTGCACCAGTGCTTGTCTGAGATGTGTTGTGGAAGCTCTTCTTACCTCTGAAGAACTGCTAACCAGTTAATACAGAGGAAGACATTAGACTAACTGATATATATTACACACTCTGTGAAAACTTGAATCGTAAATGGGGTAGAAGAAATAACCATGGAGTTAGCAAAAGGCTACAGTGAGCTTCAGCATCTGAAGTGCTAAAAGATCTGCTTGGCATAATGTTTCAGGGACCTTTTTGCTTTCCTCTTTTTTTTTTTTTTTTTTTTTTTTTTAGCTTCAGATTTTTCCTTCTGCAAATATTACACTCAAATGGAAAAAGCCAAAGAGGTCGTTTGACCATGTTTTCATTTAGTCACACATTTTCCTTCTTAGCTGACTCCCAGCAATGAAACCACATCTTCATTTTCCTTTGACAATGTGCCTCATCTATAAAACAGGGATGAGGTGCCACTAGCAAAAGAAAGGGATGAAATGAAATTGGAGCAAGGACCTCACTTCTGAAAATAAAGTGTTGGGGTAAGGCTATCTATGCAATGGGAATAATGATCTTCTGGGTAACCACATTTCAATATCAAGAGGTGGTATTCCTGTATAACCTGGTTTTAGACATGTTGCCGCTTCCAAAGCTTTGCTGTTAGAAAATGCTTCGTGACAAGCAGTCGGCAATAGCAATAAGCAGCCACCAAGTCCTATCTGCCAGGGAAAAAAAACCCATGTGAATAAGAAGAAAGCCAGGAGGTGGAAAAGAAAGAAAGGAGTCTTTTAGTGGGGCTTTGAGACACATATATGTAATGACTGCACTAGAAGGTAGTGAGGAAGTGGCCACGTGCAAATAGCGCACCACTTCAGCTGATGTAAGCAAGAAAAGACTAAGATATCTCAGAAGTCTCGGAGATGCTGGAGTGCTGCCAGAGTCCTGCAAGACCAGTTGATTTCATCTGAGTTCACTGCCGAAGTCACATACCTGGATCCCACAAGGTACGTGAAAGGTCTTGGTTCCACCACCTTGACCTCACCTCTCCCCAGAAAAGATCTCACAGAAGGCCAGCAGTAAGAAGTCTCAACTCAGCCCACCTCCATAAGCTCCAGTTTGGCTGTAGGCTAGTCCTTACAATTTCCAGTCAACCCTCTGACCTCTTCCATCTCTGCCTGACAAAACAGAGGACTATTTTGTCCTCTCAGCTGGCTGAACCGAGCAACATGCTATTCAGAATAAATCTCTCACTAAAATGCCGAGGGGTAGCATGGCTTCCCCTGCACAAAAAGGAACAACTCTTGGGATCCCAGGACATGAACTCCATTTCTGACCGGTCAAACGTTTACAGCCATCTCAGGAGACCTGCCAGGTGACCTGGACAGACTGCAGCACAAGTATTCATCAGGATGGATGATGCCAAGATAACTCTTCCACCAAGACTTTTGCCATTTCTCCCCAGGCAGGGTTTCTAAGATTGATTAACACTTGTTGCTGAGAAGGTGAAACAAACTTAATTATTTCTAGGAACAAATGGACTTCCTCTAAAATCTGGTTTAAAATCTCTCCTAGATCTTAAAATTCAGTGCCATACTTTGGGCTGGTGCTGTCCATCCCCGGATCCCGGTGACTGACAGGGAGCGGGATGCTTGTGGGCAGCTGGTCCTGCCGCGGCTCCTGGCTAAGTTGGAGCTCACCGTTAGCAAGGTTAAACCTCTTTCCCTCCATTACAGACTGCAGGTGCAGGGCACAGAAGGAATTCACAGTGTCACTTTAAGTGATACAGCACCTTCAGGTTGAAAAAGTCATTAAATTCAAGGTGTTTCTAGCAACGCAAATTTCCAGAACATCTTCACAACTCATAATTTCATTACACCTAAACTTAGGCTGCTAAGGGGCCAAAGGTCTCCTCACAAAGGCTGGCTTATCCCCCATTCCTCCCAGGATACGGGCAGATCTGCTGCTACTCCCACCTTACACACCTCCATCTGTGACACAGGGACAGTGGGGCTGGCTCTGCCACTCGGCTGGGCAGCGGGGAAATTCTTACCCTCACTCCCTTCCAAAATCCACATACCTCTTCATCGCCGGGGCCGGGTCCATGGTCGGGGCAGGTGCTGTGCTGGGACACAGCGGCTGGTCAGGGGGCTGGGGCTTAGCCAGGCGCCTGGTCCCTACGTTAACATGTCCACTGGCCACCTTGCTCCTGGCCGGCCGCTCAGCCCACCGTGAAGCTGGCGGTGACCCCGGCGTGCGGCCGCGGCTCTGCCAGCGCCTGCCGGGACAGGCAACGTCACTGGAGCAAGAAGGGGAAACCTGAGCCCCAACGGGAAGGAGCGAGGGGCCGGGGCACGCAATGTGCACGGCCTGACGTCTGCAGGGCTGTCCTCATCACACGGGAGCTGTGCTGTTTTCAAGGGGAGGGAGGGAAAAAAAAAAAAAATAAAGGGACAGATTGAGACTTTCAAACCTTAAGATGTTGAGTGGAAGTGGCAGAGGGCTGTCAGCTGGTGCCAGGCAGACCTGGGGGCCATTTTCATCTGCTTTTTAATCTGCTTTGAACTATGTCTCTCCTTCATGCTCACTGCTCCGGGGTGAGAGGAGCTGCTTTCCTGCATCCTTGCTGGGCTGCTGCCTGATGGATGGACTGGGGGATTCACTGGGAGATCCCCACTTTCTCCAGAGAGAAGAGGGACTTGCTGGCTGCCCAGAGACCTGAGCAAATGATTTTAACTTCTCTGATTCAGAGGAAAATAAGGGAAAATAGGGCATAACAGCAGTACCTGCCCATACCCCACGGGCAGCCTGGCACCCCCTTGTCCCTGCCTTGCAAGGGGAACGGGCAGCCGGGGGTGGGGGGACAGAGAGCCCAGCCTGCTCTCACTCTGCTTGCTAATCCAAAGGGATTAGAACACAAGGAAACATTTTCGGGAGAGAGCTGGCCAAGCTGTAGGTGATTGGCAGTCACCCAGGATGGGATGGCACAAAGCAGGGTGCGGTGGTCGCTATTACAAATATAGAAAAACCTGGGTGCTCTCTGCACCTGGATTCAGCCTTTTGTCCTACCAACAACTACAGCATCCATGAGACCAATTCTCCTTTTGACTAAAATCTAATAATACAAAGGTAAAAAAGAAAGGATGTAGAGAGACTTTGCATGGTCATGTGAGGTCCAGTGTTGGAAAGCACAGCATTAGGATCTTCTCCACTCCCTTTCCCTGAAGACAATGGGCAGAACAGATTTAGCAGATGACAAATAAAATTTCCTCCCTTGCTGAGCTCCCTCCCCCTAAACACCGCCTACCCCACATAGCTCACCAAGGCCAGGGATCACGCTCTCAGGTAGGGATGTCTCACCATCAAGTGATCTGTCTTGGTTTGTACTGGACTTGGCTTCCAAATGGATTTAAGTTATCTCCACCCCAAGGCAGGTCCGCAGCAACATGTTAAGCTAGAAATGACCACATCGCTGCTCTTAACCAAAATATCCAAATCAGAGGTGAGGAAAGAGCAGAACTTCTGCCAGCTCTAAAACACAGATTTGGCTCCTGATGCTGTTTGACCACCCAGGCAGTGATTTTTACATCAGCCCATTTCCATCCCTAAACATTTCCACCAGCGATGCCAAACCCCAGACACCAACTGTGCAACAGTGGGTGTCACCTCGCACTTCTCAGCCAAGCCCAGCACGCTGCAGCTCTCTCATGTCCCCCAGCCACCTCCACCTCATCCCAGCTCAGCCACAGCACCCCCCCCAGCCCAGGCACCCCTCCACCCCCCATGCCACCACCGGGGACGGACACCCCACAGGTCCCAGTGGAAAGATGTACCTCTCCGGAGCAACAGGAGCTGTAGAGAAACCCCCCAGCATCCAGGAGCTGCACAGCCCTTGGAAACCTCCTTGTACATCCACTGCAGGCTGATATCCCTCCCCAGCCCCCCCAATTGGTCCCCCCCCCCCCAGCTCCAACAGCCCACATAGGCGCATGCCACAACTGAGCCGGCATTAACCTACAACAACAGCCTTTGTTCCCCTGGCACTGGAAACAACAGCACATTGTGGGCAGCTGCCTGTGCTGGCAGGAATTGGTGGCGGGGTGGCTTTGGAGGATGTACCCGCCACACGCCGTGCTGTCGGTCGTTCTGGCAAGCTCGTGACTAAATCCGCTCTGAACTGTTTGTCATACAAATTGAAAAAGCTGGGGGGTTTTCGATCAGTGAGATGATGGCTAAGGCTAGAGCCGGGGTGCAGTGCGAGAAAAACAAAGCAACGACGTTTTTCCCTACCCGCCGCGGCTGTGGAGATCAGTTTTGGGCTGATCCTGCAGAAATGGATGGTTCACCTTTCCCAGGGATGAGCCTGCCCATGGCACCAAGTCCCCTCGACGCTCCGTCTCCATCATCCCACCATGATAAGTCTCAGACCTGTGCCTCCAGACAGGAAAGTCTGGGTATTTGGAAATCAAATTTCAGTGAATTTATCTTCTAAATAGTGATCAGCTTTTAGGCTGATGGATGTCAGGAAGGTCCATCCCATTTTTACAGAGTTACTCATGGTATTATTAGTTTACTTTTTGAGACCCTCCCAGATCCTCTTAGAACAACTTATTAAGGCCCAAGTAATGCAAGATTGATTTTCTTATGAGCGGAACTCTTTTCTTCTGCAGCAGTGTTTCCTTTTATAATTAAAGTGTTTTCATCAGTTAAATATTTTCAGTTTCCTAGACAAAACTCCCAAGGTATAGCCAGCAGTTTCTGTACTCTCCTAAGTGAAATATTTGGTGCAAACACATTATTCTGCATTAGGCAAATTCTGATAGAGTGGAAGATAAACAGCAATTTTGTAGCACCCATTTTACTGATAGTTAATGACAAGATTTCTCATTAAAAGAAGACATTTGCTTTTGCATTAATCCTATTAAATATTTAACAGCTCCTGGCAGCAGTATATCTTGGAGTTTGGGCAGCCGTATTTGTTTTGATATGTGTATTCAGTTTGGGTTTTTTTTTCCCTTATAGGAAAAAGAATATTGCTTCTGATAAATACTGAAAAAGAAGTCACTGGAGAAGCAGAACCCATCCCTCTCCAAGAGCATTCACTGCTGCTGGGCCTGGCTGCTCCAGCCACGTTTCAATTCAACCTCCCAAAAAAACGAAGCATCTAGGTCTGGAGATCAATTATTTTTGTTAACACAGCCCTTCCTGCTTTTTTATTAAAGCCTGGCTGCTGGTGCAATTTTTCCAGACCTTTTAAAACCACCCTTTTCAAACTATTTGACTGGAGGTCATATCTCATGTAGTTGTAATTACAAAGCTAAGGCAACGGCAGAGGAAGAGTCCAATGTTACCACCTTTGGAAAAGGCTCTTTGATTCAAGGTGAAGGCCAGCTTTTGCTCTACAGACCATACGGGGGTCTAAAGAAAATCTCTTTGAGAACAATGACAGATACAGTAAAGTGTGCCTTTTATTCATCAAGAGCTCATGGGTCTCCAGACGGGAAAATACACTTAGAATTTAAATTTCCCTGGCTGTACCCACACTGCCGCTGATAGCCCGTGCTGGGAGCACAGCGTTGGCAGGATTAAATACATCCGACAGGTACAGTGTTCCAAAACCAGGACGTCTGCAAACGCTGGTGTACGGAAATGTAGAGACTTTCCAGCAAAAGAGGTTTTGTTCGTAGCTCAAAGTCAGCAGTGCAACTAGCAAAGCCATGGAGACTGGTCCCTGGGAAGTTTTTCTGTTTCAGGAGGATGGACTAAGGGGGACAGGAGTTTTTGGTAAGATACAAGGCTGCGAAAAGGGACTCTCACAGGGCTGGTGTGGCTGAGGAGGGGGTACATCCAGAAGAGCTTGACTCCACAGGAGCTTTGTTTTATGTTAAGGTTTCTCAGCAGTGCTGATGTGATAAATCAGTGCTCCTGTGTTTCAGTGGGGCTCAACAACCAGCCTGTAACCGGGAGCAAGTAAGTCTGGAGGTGCAGGAGTTACAGCTGGGCAGTTGGGCTAAACCACAGCAGGTTGCAAAGTGATGCAAACTGCAGGCAGACCCACAGACCCGTGGGTGCTGAGCTTCCATAAGGGCCATAAAGAGCTCAGAGAGCAGGTAACACAGAAAGAGCATTGAAATCGTTACTGATTACATTTCAATTGCACCTGAAATGAAGGCTCAGAATTGAAATTCTGTTTACTTACCTCCTCTCAAAGCAAGGCTGAGCCCATCCATCGTGGCATGCGTGACATTGCAGCGCTTCCAAAGGGAAGAGGCCTGAACACTCCGAGCAGCCAAAGTCCCCCAGGAGAAGCCACTCTGCCAGGCAAAAATCTGTTACAAAACTGGAATATTTCTTTCCATGCCATCAATGGAAATAAGGTGATGGGTCACCCTTGTCTGGGTAAACAGAGAGAACAAGCAGTGGGAGAGCAGATACAAGTCCAAGATGCTCACCTTTCACAGAAACTTTGGATGATCTGTGAATCTTGCTGGCTTGTCCTGCTCTTAAAAAGAATATCCTAAGCTAAATTAACATTTCTTTGAAAGCTGAGTTAATGTTTCCTTTCCGTTCATGGTAAGTTCTGCCATCTCTCAAACCCTGGTATTTATAGCAGGCAGCAAACATGCCCGTTGGTCCCCCAGAACGTGGCAGCTGGTCCCTTTGGAGACCAGCAGCTCTTTGCTGCTGCAGTGGCTCCTGCCACACAGTGAGCAGAGATGAAGAAAACCACTTTGAAAGCCTGAAAACTTACTGAGGAATAATTATAAAAAATGAAATCAAAAGAAATGCAAGAAATTGAGCAGCTTTGACTAAGCCCAACACTTCTGATACAAGTTTAGCAACATGCTTGTCTATCATTTAGGAGCTTGCATTAACAGGTAGAGGAGAAAATAGCCAAACGAAAGGGACTACAGATTAATTTTAACAAGAGCCACTAGATGGGGATGCAAGGACACTTTTCTGCTTCTTCTCTTACATTTGGATCCCTATTTAGTTGTGCTCGAGCTGGCGTTTCCAGCTAACACGGCC